CCCCCCACTGTTCGTGCGCAGACAAAGGAGAACGCCGCCGGCGAGTGGAAGTGGACGGCCGGCAAGTGGTGGGGCGGCAAGGAGGACGCCGCCAAGGGCATCCAGACGTCCGGCGACAGCAAGTTCCACGCGATCTCTGCCGAGCTCAAGAAGTCGTTCACCAATGACAAGAAGGACCTCGTCGTGCAGGCGAGGGCGCGCGGCCGGACTCGCCTCCCCCCCCTTGCGCGCATACGGCGGGTACCAAGGGGTGCTGCGTATTCGAAACCCCTGCCCGCTGCCCTCTCGGCTCCCCGCCCTTGCAGCAGCAGCCGGTCGTTAATCCCCCCCCCCCCGCCCTCAGCCACCACCGTTATCGCGGGCCCCACTCCACAGTTCCAAGTGAAGCACGAGCAGGACCTGGACTGCGGCGGCGGCTACATCAAGCTCATCCCCGGCTCCAGGTGCGCCAGGCCAAAAAAGGCACCAGCAGCAAGCGCAAGCGGAGCCCTGCTGGTGCAGTCCTGCAGAGGCGCCGCCCCGCCCGCGCTGCACGCTCATTGTATCACCCCAGTTGGTGTGCGGACTCCTGCGTCTGGCTGCCCCGACGCACACCGCGCCCGCACCGCTGTCCTCGCCGCGCAGCAAGGACAAGATCAAGGAGTTTGGTGGCGAGACCCCCTACTCGATCATGTTTGGCCCCGACATCTGCGGCTTCAGCACCCGCAAGGTCCACGTCATCCTGCCCTACAAGGTGGGCAGGGCGGTGGCAGCGCGGCGGCCGCACGCTCGGACGGCCGGGAAGGCGCGGGATTGTTGGGCGTGCACGCCCTTGACAACTCATTTTGACTTGGAAAATCGCCTCACCCTTGCGGCTGCCAAGGTGGCGCACCGCCTGCCCGCCCGCTCGGCCGCCTGCTCACCTTCCCTGCGACTTACCTTCCATCCCCCCCAGGGCAAGAACTTCCTCATCAAGAAGGACATCACCGCCAAGACCGACCAGCTGAGCCACGTCTACACCCTGCGCCTCTCCCCCAACAACACCTACCAGGTGCGCAGCGGCGCGGCGGCGTGCCGCTCTGCGCGGCGCACCGGCCTGCGTGGGCCGGGCGTTGCACCAGGGGGGTGGCGGCACTGCCACAAGCATTGTGCTGCTCCTTCAGTGCACCCAGTCCCCATTTGTTGAGCCCCTTGCCTCTCTGACCTGCTGGCCTTGGACATAAATGACCATCAGGTGTTGATCGACCTGGAGACCGTTGCGGAGGGCACCCTGGAGGACGACTGGGACATCCTGCCCCCCAAGAAGATCAAGGCGAGTCGGGGGCGTGTGTGTGTGTGTGTGTGTGTCTGTGTGTGGAGAAGGCGAGGCACTGGCAGAGGCGGGCATCCCTGGAC